TCCTTTTCAACTGATCATAACCATACATTACATCTTGAAATATTTAATGACCATCTCATTCTATGTTAACCCGATTACTCAATTTTAATTTTTGCTTCTAATGCTGGCTAGACTTTGTTACTGATGCTTTATACCTTGACACATAGATGTTTTAATATGGTCCAATTTATTATTGCTTCTGTTATTTTTGTCAAGTACTTTATTATTGTTTCCATAACTTTTTCTATTCCCTGCAGATCTATTTTGAATGTCGACATTTGCATTTAGCCCTTTTGTAAATTATCTTTAACTTCTATTATATCCTCCCAAGTCTTTCTCTACTTGATGAATTTAAAACTTTTAGTACATTCCTTTATATTCTTTCTGCTATTGCCTTTGTCCAGTCGCGCTGCAGTTGCTAGTAGTATGGCTCATCTCACTACCAAAGATCTTCCCAATGTCCTTAGAATTGCACCATCCATTACACCACATTTCACTCCTTCAGTCTCACATTAATGTTTCTGATCTGTTTGCCCAACTCAAATAACACTTGTTTCAGTCTATAATCTGGAAATCACTATTATCAAGGTCCTGCTCTAAATTTAGTTCTGATACTCAGTCAACAGAAGATTTTTCCTGTGTTTTCTATTCATTTGGAGTTTTGGATACCCATAACAGTTACCTCAAAACACTGGAGAAGTTCTACCAGCACTGTCTTCACTAATTCTTCCAGATCCAAAGCACAAAATGTGGTCCAACAGCAGAAGGCCCTCCCAAGCCAACATTCTCTGACTAGAGGTGCTATTCACTCAAAAACAGTGCCACTGGACAGGACATGCCACTGATGAACCTGACACCAGGACTCCGAAGCAATTGCTCTACTCAGAACTCAGTCACTGCGGCAGACATTGGCAGCATAACAATGGGAATAGAGTCATAGAGTCATACAGCATGGAAACAGAACCTTTGGTCCAACCACTCCATGCTGAACATAATCCCAAACTAAACTAGTCCCACCTCCCGGTCCAAATTCCTCCAAACCTTTCCTATTCATGTACTTATCCAAATATTTTTTAAATGTTGTAATTGTTCACACATCCACCACTTCCTCAGGAAGTTCAAAATACCCTCAAATCACCCCTGAAAACATTAAACATCCCCAAATATTCATGAGGATTTCTGGCTTGTGATCAACAAAAGTGGAGAAGGTTTGTTTCAAAAAGGATTAAATACGTTGAGAGATTTCATCAGGACAGGCAATCTCAAGGCCACAGAGTGAATATGCAAATATCCAAACATGTTATTCACCCAACCCTTCAAGCACCACTTGCCCTCCATGTGGCAGAGTAGGTAGAATGTGCATTGGAATTATTAGCTATCTCAGAACCAATTCAATCAGAGTAGAAGCAAGACATTCTTGATGCAGAGAAGCTACCTCAGCTTCTGACATGAACAGAAATACCAGTTTTTCTTCAGTCCCTTTCAAGTTTCTTTCAGTTAACTAGGAAATATTCCTCACCCTGACATTGTATAGGCCGAAACATACCATCCAATCTACTCAAATCTGATGACACAGGTTATACTGCATCTATCCAATTATTTCCCGGTATGAATACCACCTCAGATATAAGTACAGTTCCCTTTCATGCCTCCACAGAACCTATTGTTTCACTGAAACCAGAAAATAGAAATATGTATCTAAATGAAGCACATCTTCTGCACTTTGCTTGCAGTAATTCAAATTATAGCTGTCAATGATCCAAATAAAAGCAGAAGCTAGGCCATAATCTAAATAAGCAATAAGTACACTGGAACATTAAAACTGCTGTATGAACAGGAACCATAAAACAGCACAAAGATCTACTTCACCTAATAGTACAATACTCTTCTAGAGAAACGTACCTTTTGAGAAAAGAATGAAACAGTGCTCATTTTAAATCTTTAACACTTTCTGATATTAAACACAAAATTGAACATGGAAATACTTCACATCTAACCACCCGCTCTTCAAATTGATGCTCGTGAAATGATTAAAGTGCCCCTTGCCTTCCAAATATGCCTTGGTTGCAGAGTGGCATTCTGTGCTGTCAGGCAAGTAGACATTTTAGAGCCTGATGCCCCAATCATAAACCATCAACTCATTTAATCAATACTGGAGCTACTTATGTATCTGACTACTTAATTAAAATTAAGAACAGGTTAATCAAACTTGATATACATTTTGAGAAGCAGATTGACATCAGAGAAGAAAAATCAAAAACTGAAAAGCTTTCCTTTGACGTAGCAACACAGCTCATTGAACTATTGATTTTGGAGCCAATAACAAGTGGGGGAGGGGAGGGGTTATAGGTTTAACCTTCCACACTGTCAGAGAGAAGAAACATTGGGTCAGAGGAGTCTGTGTACTGTTTTTACATGCCTATGAATATGTAATGATATTTGGGGACACCTTACAGGAGACCTAATGTCTGCTGACTTGGGGTTGGAGGGGGAAATAAAACAACTATTTTGTGCTCTGAGGGATATTTAAAATGAGAGAAGTTCAGGTAAATGACTAACTAAGGTAGACAGGATAAGGTGATGATTAACTCAGAGCTATGTTGATTTCAGGGTTTGAATAATCAATTAACCCTTTATTGAACCTTCATGAACTGGAAACATTTTGTAAATATGTATGACAGCTAAACTTCAACACTCTAACAGCTTCCTTTATGAAAGATAGCAACAACTCTTGTAGCTGGAAGAATTCATAGAAGAACACATTAGAGGAAATAAACCAAGTCAACCCATTCAGATAAGACCAATTGTCCAGCTACCTTTATTCAGGATGGAGTTCAGGCTCCACTGAGTCAGACCACCCAATTTAATTGGAGCCATGTGACAGTCAGCAGGTTACACCTTTATCAAATTTAGCAACATTTTTGTTTTAAGTGACTATTCAAGGCTGACAACACTAACTATGAAAATCAAAGTTTTAACAAAATATTGATGCTGAACAAATAAAGCTGGTTGCCACAATTGCTACATTTCATTAGAAAAGCTCATAAGTGAAGTGCAGAGGCAGTCTTGTGTTAAGCCATAGTTGTAGGGGGTGAAATTGATTTTGGGCAGTATTGCAAGATAAACAACTATCAGCTGACATCCTCTTAGCCTGTCAGATTTCCTTTTCTGTTGAGTTCAATCGTAAAGCTTAAGATTTCCATCACCCAGAATAGTTCACCAATAATCTCAGCAAAGGCCAGATGAAAAGGTGCAATTCATGATATCAATAATTTCTACACCCAACAAAATCTGTTAAGATACCTTAAATTATTTTGGTTATCTTCCTTTAACATCTTTCAGATTTTTATAAGCAGAACCACGCTTACTTTTACAGAATTTAATATCTTCAGCATCATTTTATCGTAATGCTTGACTTTTTCTGTTTTTTTTTGTTTTTGTAATTCATTTCGATCCATTATTACCACAAACAGTATTTCTCCATCAACCAACATCATTAGAAAGCAGATGCTCTGATCATTATTCCATTGTTGTTCACGGGAGCTTGCTGTGTCTAAATTGGTGGCCACATTCTTCTACACTACAACAGTGAATACTCTTCAAAAGTAGTTGAATCCATTGGGGCAATCCAAGTGTTGTTTTCATTGTTTAGGTTGGCAGGTGAGGAAAAAGATTTGGTGATGAGGTGTACATTTCAGAACAAATTGTACAACTTACAGAGAAGCACACAGCACTGGTAATGACATCGTTGCCATGAAACACTTGTAGCTTATTTTGATAGTGAATGCAATGCGTACTTCAAACTTTCAGTCTTCCAATGAAGCGCAACAGAAATTAACATGGGTATTTCTGGTCAGGGCATTTCTGCATAGTCAATTGAAAAGTAGTCTGTTGAAGACATGTGTTTATTCAAAAATTGTTGTCTATGAATAAAAAAATTGGAATTTGTTTTGACTTACTGGAAACACTGTGAAAGTGACTTTGTAAAACTCAGATGAAATGTCTCATAAATTCAAATGGGGAAAAATTATGAGATCTCTTAGGCAGTCCTTGTATTTTATTGCAGATAGACGGCATAATGTCAGAAAACCTGCTCATGCAGCCTCTTCTACAAACACAGTTGATTCTATTTATGTTAATAACTGATAAGAAATATATCTGCAAATGAATAAAAATGCTAAAGAAAAGCTAGTTTTAAACATTCAAGGTGTTGACTCATATTAATGAAATCATTTTAAACATGTACTGACATTAAGTAAGCAGTTCAACCCATATTATACATTTTATTGCATTTGTGACTTCAATAGCATCAATTATACACAGTAGTTAGACAAAGTATTCATTCGAGAGGGAAATGGACTGTTACCTGAAAGAGAAGAATATGCAAGTCTCTGGGGAAATGACATTAGCTACATTGCTCCTATCAAGATCTGGTGCAGACAGGAGGGGCCAAATGGCTTTCTTCTGTGCTGTAACAATTCTTTGATTTTATGTTACATTATGAGATTTATCATATTCAAAACAGTTAAAATCCAAATGTTTAAAAGCAAGAACAATATGAAAATAAGGAAAACATTCGGTTTTAGTTAAAAAAGAAGTCTCACAACAGAAGTCTGTCAAAATATTTCAAAGAGAATGCCTAATAAGCGATCACATTGATGTAAAGAACACTTAATTGATTAAAAAAAAGGGTAATGGCTTGGTGGAAATTGGCCAAAGGACAATGATTAAGCTGTACTTAGTGATCTATCTAGACGAAACCTGTACAAAATTTGGTACAGCTATACATCCAAGTCAACAGGCATATCAAAACATTTTGCAAATACCAAAAAACCATAATCAATGCAACCGTGTTACAATTGAGAAGAAATTTAACCTTGTAATCAACTGCAGAAATGTTGACAACATAACCAATGTCTGAGGCATGATTTTTTGTTCTGGGCCACACCGGTGGCTATGTATGTGGGGTGAGATTGGCAATCTCAGAGTCCTCCTGGAACCCCTGTTGATCCCCTGGTCTGTTATTGGAAGGCCGCCTCCAGGAATTTGCTGTGGTGTCTTTCCATCTGGACCCAGCCTTCAATAGATGGTACAGTGGTGGTCTGCTGCCAGAAAACCCGAAACTGGAACATGAATTTACTCAGTCCTTCAGGAAAATCCTGGGATCCATTTCGAATGACTGTTTAACAATCACACATCATTCGTATGTGACAAAAAGAAGCCTGACCTAGAAGATTTGCTAAATAGACCAGTGAAATGTAGGATCTCACACTGACATTACCGCACAGTTGCCGGTATCTCATCAACAAGTCAGCCTTTATTTACGTGTGGAGAGTCATTGACACTGACCCAGCTTCCTCAGAGGGAATAGAATCCCTGACACTCCTGTTTATATCTGTCAGGGCTCCCTGATTGGACTAGATTAATAATCCAAATCAGGCACCTCATACTAAAAGATGTCCATTTGGCTGACCTTGTTATCATCACAAATCAACACAAACTTAATTGTAAAGACATTTCTTTTTTAAATTTGCACTGAAGTTGGTTGTTTGATTCATCTTAGTTTTTTTTTTACTGTTCCAGACCATGGGGGTCATTCAACCTTTTCCATTCAACAAAGTAGATATAGGTGGACAGTTCAAAACCTCCAGATTACTTTTGTGCCCTGAAGCTATTGGGAGTTGATCAATCACAACCTTTTTAGACCAGTGAGTTCCATGTGGCGTCTAAATAGTTCATCCCCAACTCCCCTCTAAACGTCATCTCATCCCACCAGGATCCTGAGGGAAAGTGAGAAGGAAAATTGTGAGGCTCCAGCAGTCCATAATTTTTCCATACGCCTAAGATACATGGCGGTGCCAGTGTGCTAGAAAACTGCATGTGTTACATTCTTGCTCAGAAAAGGGTGCAAAGAGAACTCATGACAAACAGTTTAACATTGGTCATAGGGAAGCTTCTCAGAACAATAATTCAGGACAAAATCAATAGTCATGTGGACAACATGGATTTCGTAAGCTGTGTCGTAATTAAATAACATGCTGAAGTTTTTTTGAAGAATTAACAAAGTGCTGATAAGGCAATTTTGTTGATGTGGTGGGCTACCAACGGGATTTGATATAGTACTGCACAATGGACTTGTGAGCAAAGTTACAGCTCATATTCTTCATGTAATAAAAGGGAAAATGGCAACAAAGATACAAGATTGATGGCGTGACAGGAAACAGAGTGTTTCAAGCCAGAGGAAATTATGTGGTCAATTCCCCCACGTGTTAGTGTTGGGACCCTTGTCTTCTTCCTGAAATATATTAATGACTTAGGTCTTTTTACTAGTATATACAGAACATAATTTCAAAATATATGAATGATACAAAACTGAGAAGCATTGCAAACTGAAAAGGATGGTGTAGAACTTCAAAATTACTCAGGTAAGTTGTGGATAGATGGACAGGTGACAGATTAAATTCAATACAGAGAAGAGTGAAATGCTAAATTGCTGTCAAACACTAGTTTGGCCTAAGCTGGAGCATTACACCCAGTTCTGAGTATTACACTTTAGGAAGGATGTGAATGCACTGGAAAGAGTGCAGAAGAGATATATAACGATGTTTCCAGGGATGAGGAACTCCAATAACAGATTTTAAAAGTTACTATTGTTTTTCTTTGGTAAGAGAAGAGTACAAAGAGATCTGGTAAAGAAGTTTAAAATTATGAAGCATCTGGATGCAGTAGAGAGGGAGAAACCTTTCCTGCTCATGAATTGATCAAGAAATGGCCAGCACAGATTTAAAGTACTTGACAAAAGCACAAGAGAAAGCTTTTTTATTCAGTGAAATGTCCATTCAGAGAGCTGGTGCAGACACACTATGCTGCGTGACTTGCTTCTGTGCTGTAACAATTCTCTGAAAAGAATTCTGGGTATCTGTATCTGTTGCTCAAAACCTTAAATCTGTTTCCCCTTGTCCTTACAAGATCAGTTAATGGAATTTTTTTTTTGTTATTCATCTTTATTATCTAAACCTATCATAATCTAATGCAGAGGTAACAAGGTATAGAGCGGGATGAACACAGCAGGCCAAGCAGCATCAGAGGAGCAGGAAGGCTGACGTTTCGGGCCTAGACCCTTCTTCAGAAAAAAAATCTAATGCATCCCTACCATATCTTTCCTCAATCTCTTTTGGTCCAAGTAGAACAACTCCAATTTCTCCAGTTTATCCTTGAAGCTAAATGCCCTCATTCTTGGAACCATTCTAATAAATCTTCTCTGCAACAATGCAAGGACCAGAGCAGGAGATTTTGTAGGCAAAATCATTCAGGAAATCCAATATCTCACATACATGGCCAACACTCTCTCTAAAATGTTCTGCCGCTATCAAATGATAATACGTAAGCATCTGCAGCTTAACCTGTTCCTGACACTGTTGAAAACTGTGCCATTTCATCATTATTACCACTCTATATAACTTGTGCTAAAATGCAACACTCCACACTTCTCTGCATTCAATTCCATCTGGCACTTGTATGCCTATTCTGCTGGTCTATGTCTTGCTGCAGTCAGTTGGCATCATCAACTGACTCAGCACAAATTGGGATTCAAACTCGAACTTTTGCGGCTAGAAGTTCAAAACCACAGTTAAGTGAGTAGTCCCAATTGGTTCCTTCATTCCCTGCTCATCTTAGATTCGCCATTCTTAGGTTGAAGTTTTTAACCCTTGATTCCCTTGTTCAGCAATAATTGTGTTTTAATCCCTTTTGAAACAGCTTATCTCCAAAATTATTTACTGTCATTGCAGATGGTTCAACTGAAATTTTACCAAATTTACACAAGTTGATATATTTAAACATGTCTTAACATTTTAAAATTATTTCAAAGAATTTGCTGGCACTCAGTGTCCACTTTCCTGGCTGTTTGAAAATCTTTAATCATATGTCCTGTCTCAAGTTATTTTGCAATTTAGGCAGATCCCCAACTCTTAAATGAAGTACATGCAAGTGAATCTTGATCATTTTTTACCAGAATGGAAAGAGGCTTGGAAATCCTTGTCATTTGGGAGATCCTTATATCTTTGTGTGGATCAGCACCTTTCATCTTAAAGTCTGAGATTCCATAAAATGCTGGTGAATGCTATGTTGTTCCAGCTGTGTGTGTATACGTGGGGTGAGATGAGGAATGGATAATACCATAACAGGATTTAATATGAACAGAAACATTGTGCTAATCTTTTCTGACTATAAACAAACTTTTGAAAAGCATCTGGCTCTAATTTGGCTCCCCTAGAGATCATAATTTTAAAATATATTAAACAAAAATGTCTGCTTTTCTTTCTTTTATTTAGTGTGCAGCTTATGACTTTATGGCACTGTTCCATTAAACATTCCTCGTGCCATGGTCTGCACAGAGAAAGAACTGTATGAGTGAACTCTGCAAGTGTATATAAATAATGACAGTATGATACTGATTTCACTACCTGTGGGGGAAAAGATCAAATAACTCAAATGTGAGAGACTCAAGTATACAGTTGGTGTGAATGATAAAGTAGATCATATCACATTTTATCTCCTTTTTAACATATTAATGATATTGTAAATAAATTGAAATGTTCCTTGATTGTGATTTTATTTTATAGCTAATTATAGAATTTTATAAATTCTTTGGCACTTAGAAGCATTGAGTATTCTATCATCTATCATAGTTCTACTCATTAAATGTGTGTTTCTGATCACTTTTTCTGGTATGCAGCAAATGAGACTTGATTAAAAAGATGTATCGGCATCAGAAACATATAATCTGTAAGATAAGCACTTCTGAAGTTAAACATCAGCAAGATCAGGGCTTCAAACACAAAGGGATATTCATAACTCTTCTTTCAGCTTTTTTTTACAATATGTAATCGTTTCAAAATGGGAACACTCCGCTAAATGCTTTATAAAAAGAAATCAAATTTGCACTCAAATAGCACCTCTTCTGATCACTGGACATCTCAAAGTTTACAAGCAATACAATACTTTTCAAGTGTAGTCACTGTTATAATGCAAGAAATGCAGCAGTCCATTTGCACACAGCAAGCTCCCACAAATAACAAGTTATTGATGGTCAGATAATATACTTGAGGTGTTAGTTGAGGGATAATTATTGTCCAGATCATGAAAATGCATTCATTTTCTATGCAAATTCTTATTGTTTTATCAGAATTTTGGGCTGGCATATGAACAGTATGTCTTTAAGTATTATGAAACTACAATTTAACCAGCAACTGTATGTTTGTCAATTTATTCTAATAAATCTTGCTGTTAATATGCAGCACAATGACTAATGTGCTGTTCAGTTATTAGTAACAAAGAAATTATTTGATACTAGCTTCGTGTTTCCCATCACTGTATTGCAAATATAATTATCTTGGTTACCTGCTTGTATTGCTTGAATCCTTTCAACCTCAGATAGCTCCATGCAAATGCCCCGTCCCTGCATAAGTGTCTCCAAAGGTTTAGATTCCTCAAGCTGGGGATAACAGCGGAGACCCGCACCACAGCGTGCTGTGTACACCCCACATGGCTGGCCATGAGATAGGGCACACATCCGACAGCAGCCACAGCCTGGCTCCCTCACCAACTCCTCTGTGCATGTACTATCCACGGGTGGGCAGTGTGCCAACCTCTCTTCGGTGCAGGGCAAGCAGCGGATCGGCCCAGATGCCTCAAGCATCAATGGAGAAAACAGAGCAAGCAGAACACTCCAACACTTTAAAGTACACATCGAAACACAGTAAGTAAACCAGATGCAGAAAAGGAGCGTACTCACAATACCTAGCCTCTCCGAGGGCAGTCAGGATTATTTATACAATGGTTAGACTAGTTAGTGATAAATTCCGGTCAGGACTCTGATTAGCTATTCCTTACATGTGGGTGTAATCGTACAGCATGAAGTGGAAAAATACTTTCGCTGGGTCTTAAATACATAGTTGTACCAGTAAGAACTTGAAGAATTGGGTTATAGCCAAAACAACATAGTCGTGACTTGACATTCGATTTATCCCAAGAAGCAGATGGATATACAGTGATAACTTCGTTACTTTTCCAGCAATAAATCTGCTCTGCACTTCACAGTACAGCAATGACAGGGAATACTAATGCACCTTTGATCTCTATAGTTTCTTCATTTTGAAGAAGAAAAATAAAGCAAAAATGACTGAAACATTTTGGGTAGGTATTATAGAATTCAGACTTAAATGAGATATCTAATTTCTAGCAGCTGAGTTCAGCTGCAGAGGAAATAAAAATCTTAGCAAGGGAAAACCATTAGACAGTACAGTGAGCTGCATTAACTGCTGCACCAATGTTTGAGATGACATTAGCTATGGAAACATTTTATTTGGAATCACGGTCTTTTAGAATCAGCAGAGTTGTTGGACAGTCTCTTTGTTTGTTGTTTTCAATTTTGATATTACACAGAACCAAGAACAACCTTTATGATGAAATGGAGCAGCACCAAGAAATAACATGCTTGTGTTCACATTTGTTGCTGCTATATATTTCATGTCAATGTACTTTTATTGAATTTAAACAAATGTCACTCCACTCCTCATGTTTGGCAATAAAAGTTTTACAATGTGCAGTCAATTTGGAGTGCTCAATTTCAGTGGTTTTATATAGAAATATTAAGAAAAGATCTAGAACATTCAGCTCCTCTGGCTACTTCACATCTCAACTAGATCTTGGCCGATCAGCTCCTTGATTTCATTTTTGTGCTTTTGCCTTTATATCTTTACCATGTAGAAAACTGTCTATCTTACCCCTGAAAGCTCCAATCTCCCTATCATTCACAGCCTCATGGAGGTTAGTGTTCCAAATTTCTTGTTAGCTTTGTGAGAAAAATGCCTCTGACCATAAGAGGTAGGAGAATAAGCAGACCATTCAGCCCATCAAATCAGCTCTGCTATTTAATGAGATCAAGGCTGATTTAATATTCCTCAATCTCATTTTCCTGCCTTTTCTCCATGATGTTCCCCTTTTCCGAAACTGATTGAAAATCTGTCAACCTCAGCCTTGAGTACACTTAATAACCCAGCCTCTACAGCCCTCTATGGTAAAGAATTCCACAGGTTCACAACTCTCAAAGAGAAGAAATTCCCCATCACTTCTGTCTTAAATGGGCGACCACTTATTCTAAGACTTTGCCCTCTGGTCTTAGATTCTTCCAAAATGGGAATTAACCTTTCCACATATGACTTGTCAAGTTCCTTAAAAATCTTAAATATTTCAATCAGTTGGTCTCTCATTCTTGAGTACTAGCCCAAACTACTCAACCTCTTCTCATTAAATGTCCCTCCACATCTGGTATCAATCTCGTGAACTTTCTGTGGGCTGCCTCCAATGCCAGTGCATCTTTCCTTGGATAAGGGACCCAGAACTATTGGCAGTATTCCAGCTGTGATTTCACTAATGTCTTGTATACTTTGAGCAAGATGCCCTTATCTTTATACTCTATTACCTTTGAAATAAAGGGCAACAGTCAATTCGCCTTTCCTTGATCAAGATGGCGGCAGTGGAGTCGGAAGTGTACGGGCTCCTGCACCCAAGCTTGAACTCTTCGCCTGCATTTTTTTTTTCTTTTTCTTTTTCTTTTTCCTTTTCCCCCTTCTTTTTTCTCAAAATTACCTGATAAAGACAGCTCTTCAGCAGGAGGTGGCTTCGATGGACTCTGGAATGGTGGTGGCATCTTCGGACGCAGTATGGTAACAGAGTCGGTTGGTCGGCCTGTGAAGCCTGGAGCGGGACTCTTGCTTCCACATGGAGTGGGCCTCTGGTGGTAGAATGGCGTGGGCTGGGAAACTGGAGCAGGACTCTCTCGGCAGCATTAACATATGAGGAATGTTTGAGGACTCTGGGTCTGTACTTGATGGAGTTTAGAAGGATAAGGGCGTTGGAGGGTGGGGGGGCATCTAATTGAAACTTACAGAATATTGAAAGGCCTGGATAGAGTGGACTATGGAAAGATGTTTCCGTTAGCAGGAGGGACTAGGACCCAAGGACACAAACTTAGAGTAAAGGGAAGACCCTTTAGAACGGAGATGAGGGGAAACTTCTTCAGCCAGAGAATGGTGAATCTTATGGAATTCATTCCCACAGAAGGCTGTGGAGGCTAGGTCATTTGAGTATATTTAGGACAGAGATAGATATGTTCATTTTTTTGACCAATATCTGGCCAGTGACTGTTTGGGTGAAGGATAGTAACATGATGAGCAGAGGGTTTGCTTGGGGTTGGGGGCAGGGTGTGTTGGGGGATAGGTGGTAAGCCACACATTCTTGCATTATCCGCAACTTGAATAATCCATTGTCAAAAGAAGGCGCAATCAAATAACAGCCACTGTTTCAGCAAAAACACTCCCATTCATATTATTAACCTTGTTGAAAATCCCTTGAAAAATTATTATCTTGCTGAATGAATGTAACTGTTTTCACAACCTACTAAATTAATAATTACAGCTGAACAGTCTCACTGTCTCTGAAAGAGTAATTTATACATCTGAAAGAGCAATCTTCTTTGTTGTATTAACTAATTTACAATTTGTTTTATATGTTTGTTAACGATATTTCAGTTTCTATCTAATCCCTTGCACATTTTTCAATATCATCTTTCACTGTCTTAAAACTTTAATTAACATTGAAAAAAAATCAGGACTTGTTTCTTCCTGGTTTACTGTCTCTAATGATACTTCAATTTGTCTGTCTCTTTATGCTGTTTGATATTTGATATGTTTCAGAATGCATGCAGATCACCTTAACCAGGTGCCAAATAAAAACTGCCATCTGAGAAGGGGAAATACACCCACAGAAATTGCACCTTGCTTTGAGGTCAGCAGCGAAGTCTAGCATTATAAGACTATAAGATATAGGAGCAGAATTAGCCCATTTGGCCCATCAACTCTGTTCCACCATTTGATAATGTTTGATATGTTTCTCATACAGTCATAGAGTCACAGAGTCATACAACATAGAAACAGACCCTTTGGTCCACTCGTCCATGCCCTCAAGGTATCCCAAACTTAATTAGTCCCATTTGTTTGCATTTGGTCCATATCCCTCTAAACCTTTTCAATTCATATGCTTGTCTAAATGTCTTTTAAATGTAATCGTACCTGCCTCTACCACTTCCCCTAGCAACACATTCCATACCCATCCCTCACACCCTATGTATGAAAAAAAGTTATCCCTCAGTTCCCTTTTAAATCTTTCCCCCTCACTTAAACCTATCTCCTCTACTTCTGCACTTCCCTACTGTTAGAAAAAAGACCTTGGTCATTCATCTTATCTATACCCCTCATGATTTTATAAACCTTTATAAGGTCAACCCTCAGCCTCTGATGCTGCGGGAAAAAAAAGTCCCAGTCTATCCAACCTCTCCTTATAACTCAAATCCTCCAGTCTGGGCAACATTCTTGTAAATATTTTCTGCACCCTTTCTCGTTTAACAACACCATTCCTGTAGCAAAGTGACAAGAACTGAATGCAATATTCTAAAAATGTCTTGTATAGCCGTAACATGATAACCCAATTCAATGCACTAACCAACCCCATTCTCCGGCCTTCTCGGAGTAACCCTTGATTCTCTTATTAGTCAAGAACCTATCTATCTCTGTCTTAAATATTTGCAATGAATTGGCCTCCACAGCCCTCATGGCAATGAGTTTCACAGATTAACCATCAACAGGGTGAAGAAATTCCTCCTCATTTCAATTTAAAGAGTTGTGTCTTCACTCTGAGGCTGTGCATTCAGGCCCTAATCTCTTCTATTAGTGAAAACATCTTCTTCACATTCGCTCCATCCAGGCTTCTCAGTGATCTGTAAGTTTCAATGCGATCCCCCTTCATCCTTCTAAACTCCATTGACTACAGACCCAGAGTTCTCAATTACTCCTCATATGACAAGCCCTTCATCTCCAGGATCGTGTAGTCCTCCTCTGGACCCCCTCCAACTCCAGTACATCCTTCCTGAAATACAAGATTCAAAATTACTCACGATAAGCCAAATGCAGTCTGACCACAGCCTCAGTAGTACATCTCTGCTTTTAGCCCTCTTAAATTGATTGCTAACGTTGCAATAGTCTTCCTAACTGCCATCTGATGTTAACCTTAAGAGAATCATGAATGAGGACACCCATCTCCCTTTGTGCTTCAGATATCCAAAGATTATCCCCATTTAGAAAATAGTTTATGCCTCTATTCTTCCCATCAAAGTGCACAATCTTATTCTTTCCCATATTGTATTCCACCAAGACAGTGAGCTTCTCTGCCGTGGTAAAAATGCTAAAAAAAAAATTTTAACTTATTTGGGCAGTTTTTGACATCTTGACAAGTTGCTCTGTTCCAAGAAGTATATGCACATTTTACACACAGTCTTTTCCACTCTTAGTCTCCTAAGAGCTCCTGACACCCAAATATGAAAAAAAATTATAGTCCCTGAACCTGACATTTCTTATTTTCACAGAGATGGGATTTGGGGCAGGCTTTAGTTCATGACATAGCAAGGTGTAGAGCTGGATGAACACAGCAGGCCAAGCAGCATCAGAGGAGCAGGAAGGCTAACATTTTAGGCCGAGACCCTTCTTCAGAAATGGGGGAGGGGAAGGGGGTCCTGAAATAAAAAGGGAGAGAGGGGGAGGCGGATAGAAGATGAATAGAGGAGAAGATAGGTGGAGAGGAGACAGACAGGTCAAAGAGGCGGGGATGGAGCCAGTGAGTGTAGGTGGGGAGTTAAGGAGGAGATAGGTCAGTCCAGGGAGGACGGACAGGTCAAGGGGGTGGGAAGAGGTTAGTAAGTAGGAGATGGGGGTGCGGCTTGAGGTGGGAGGGGGGGATAGGTAGGAGGAAGGACAGGTTAGGGAGGCGGGAACAAGCTAGGCTGGTTTTGGGATGCGGTAGCAGGAGGGG